GTAAAATTTCTTAATCAAGAGTAGAGACAAATATATAGAATAACAAAAAATAAACTTAAGTTTGTACCAATATATTAAAGTTCATAATAATGTAAAATATATAGGTATAGTTGCTTTTTAGTTTAAAGCAGATTCAATAATCTACCCTTTAATCCTGTCATTTCTATATCCTCCTTTTTTTTCAGAAAAAGATTCCTAAATCTAATCTTATTTGCTTAGTTTCCTCCTTTTTCATGGCCAGTAACAACTTGCAATCAATCATCCTAATGATGATAAACATCCATAATCCATGGAATGACCAAAACCCACCTACTCCACCTCTTGGAATGTGGGCACCTTGTTCTTCCTGTTGTCTGTGGGTGGGGGGAGATGGCATCTTTATGGGATGCTGAGAAAATTGGAATAATGGTCAAGCCCTGGGAGAGCTAGCTGTATTAGTTTTTTGTTTGTTTGTTTAGTCTCTATGTGGTGGGAAAGTTTAGATCTTATCTGAAGTCTTGACTGGATAGTCTATGAGGCTGGACCATCTCAGTTAGCAGTGTTGAAGTTGTTCTGCAAGCAGAGTTTTGAGGAAACTACAACAGAGGCATCCTGAGAGGCTGGGCTACTTGTTTTCATTGATGTTTTGTCCTTTTTTTCTGAAAACACACAAACATTTAAAGGTATCATATATATCTTCATTGCCACAAGTATGGAATGTGTGATGTGCACAACTCAGCTAAAGATGAATTTTCTCTTCTATGTTTAAGCAGGTAAAAGGCACCTGTAAACTTTATAAGTCTGTTTGGACTGTGTAACCAAACTGTAATATAAATCTTTATCCATGCCACATGAAAGGATGGCATGTAATAATGTCATGAGGACTATGTAACCAACAAGTTCCATCATGTCTCAGAGCTCTTCTCATGTAGAGACACATATATGTCCTGTAGTCTTCTTGGATTTCTCTTTTTATGTCTGTAGCCCAGATTTTCAGGAGGTCTTTTCTGGTCAAATCTGATCTCTAATAATTTTGAAGAAATGTATAGCTTTTTGTTTTCTTTGGAAACAAAGACATAACTTCTCCCCAATGCAACATATTTTTTTTAACTTCCATTCTGAAGTAAAGACAATATTAAAATATACATGTTGGTTTAATTTAGTAGTTTTCATATCTAATGTCTCTCAGCAGCTATTGTTAATTAGCATTTAAAAATTTCAAAGTCAACAAAGCACCATACAGGGTCCAGACACCTTGTGTATTTCCCATCTTTACATGGCTTTTTCCTTTTATATTCCTTTATTCTCTCTTTAAGGGCTTTATTATTTTTAAACATTTGTTTATTTTCTATGACTGTCTATACTAATTTTATTTTCTTTTGTCAGCTTGTAAGCACATTTTTGGGCATACTATACCTGTTCAGAGGTTTCCTTGGTCTGAAGCTTACTTTCCATTCATCTGCAGCATTCTCTGATCATGTTAGTCAAATCTTAAACTACTAAGCAGCAGGTAGAACTTATACCACAGGGCTCTAGTGTCTAACTTCGCCCCCTTCATTCCATGAGAGCCTAACCTCATGCCTGCAGGCCCAGCCTGGAGCTGGTCTATCTGTCCAAGATGTGGGAAGTTTTGGGGTCCATACTGTGTTAGGCATTTCTACCTAGTCTCCTATCACTGATTAGCTCACTGCTTGTTGTTCATAAACCCCATTTAAGTGCTTGGTAACAGGGTTCCTTAAAAGAGCTTTACCTCCTTGTGCCACTATTACTGAGCCTACCCAACAGACTGTGGTCACCAGAAAGCTTCTCTAGGCCTTGTGTGGGTACATATGGCCAGATGTTAGGTGCTATCTGTAGTTGTACTTTTTCATTGTTACTGCCAGTCCACAAATAATGATCTGGAGACTCATTACTAATTATGAAAGCTTGGCCTTAGCTTAGGATTTTTTCCAATTAGCTCTTACAACTTAATTAACCCATATTTTTAATCTGTGTTTTGCCGTGTGGCTCATTATCGCATTCCCATATTGCATGTACTGCTCTCTTATTCTATTGGTATGATCCACATGCTTAGGTTCCCCTTCATCTTTCTCTCTCTCCCTGGAAATCCCACATAACCCGACTGCCTGGTTATTGACTATTGAGCTGTTTACTAAACCAGTCACACTGTGTACAAGCATTCTGCCACAGAAGTCTGCTGGCATTGGTGGGAAGGGCTGACCTCAGGGAGAATGATGAGGTAGGTAAGGGCTTGAGTGCTGGAATTGGTTTGGGAAATGGAATTTAGGGAGTGGGGCCATTTCTTTATACTGTGTGAAGATGTGTCACTGTGATTGATTTAATAAAAAGCTAAATGGTCAATAGCTGGGCAGGAGGAATAGCGGGGACTTCTGGACAGAGAGAGCTCTGAGAAGAAGAACGGTGGTGCCATCAGCCAAATGAAGAGGAAGTAGGATGGGCAGTGCTGAGTAAAGGTGGCCAAGCCACATAAAAACAAAACAAAAACACAGATTAAAAGTATGGGCGATGTGGAATAATCTTTTTGTACACTGTGAAAATGTCACTTTGATTGGCTTAATAAAAAGCTAAATGGCCAAGAGCAAGGTAGGATTTCCAGGCACAGAGAATGCTGGGAAGAAGGGCGACGTCATCAGCCAGATGCAGAACAAGCAGCATGGGCAATATAAAGTGAAGTTAACTGAGCCACATAAAAGAATATAGACTAAAAGACACGGGTTAATTTAAATCATAAGAGCTAAAACTAAGCCTAAGCTATTGGTTGAACTTTCATTATTTAGTAAGAAATTTCCATGTGGTTATTTGAATGCTGTCAGGCAGGACAAAGACTCATTAGCTATGGATTAATTTAAGTTACAAGAGCTGGCAGGACAAGCCTAAGCTGTAAGCTCCATGTCAATATCTGTGATCTGGCAGTCCCATTGAGAAAGGTCCTCTACAGGGCACTTAGCCTGTTTTTCTGACCAGTCTGGCCTGCCCCTGAGCAGAGGAAGTATACTGGGGTATAGAACTTTCTAGTGTCTTAAATTCATGTCCAAGAAGTCTTCTCTGGTGAACACCCTACACCAAGAGACTCAAGAATAAGAAGATGAAACTACTGTTGTCAGACAGACAATCCCTTTACTCGTTCAAGGTGAAGGTGCAAATCATGGATTTGTTTGTTTACTTATTTATTTATTTATTTATTTAGTATTTTAATTTAGGCTTTGGGATTTGTAGTAGTAGGAGCAGCAGGCCGCATCCCATTAACTCCCAAAATAACTACACGGAATTGTATTAATTTAATTACTACCTGGCCCATTAGCTCTAGCCTCTTATTGGCTAACTCTTACATCTTGATTAACCCATTTCTATTAATCTGTGAATCACCACGTGATTGTGGTTTACCAGTAAGGGTCTAACCTACGTCCATCTTGGACAGGAGAATCATGGTGTCTGCCACACTTCCCTTCTTCCCAGCATTCTGTTCTGTTTACTTCGCCCACTTAAGGGCTGCCCTAACAAAAGGTCAAGGCAGTCTCTTTATTCAACCAATGAAAACAACACAAATACAGGACCTCCTAAACCAGGGATTTAGCTCAGTATAGAGCAGTATAGGCCAAGTAAGCAAGGCCTACGGTGGGTGGGTTTCAAGAACTAAGTGAGATCACTGGATATCACTGAAATTTGACTTCTAGAGATTATCCTCTGGCCTTCGCATGTCAGCTCTTTCTTTCTCTTCCTGCACATACATGTTAAATAAATCAATAACAAACTATTCTATTTTGGTCTTTAGAGATAAGTGCTTAGTGTAGCCCAGGCTAACCTGAAGTTCACTCTACAGACCAGGCTAGTCTTGAAAAGACTGTGTACCTCTGCCTCCTATGTACTGGGATTGCAGGCAGTGTCACCACACTCATTTCACCTTCAACTCAAAAACAAGGATGGTTGAGTCAATAAAGAAATAATGTATTTGCAATGATCTCATCACGTCTGCCCTACCACAAATTTAAACAGGGGAATAAAGGCTGTCTTGTTCTTTGGCCAGTACCAAGGACCTTGAATGAACATACTTACAAATTGAAAACCCCACACAGAAACTCTTGAGTGACTGTAATGAACATGCTAAATGCACTCAGAAGTCATTTTAACAGCCGTGTGGTTTTGGTGAAATGTCTCTAAAGCTGGGCTCTAATCAGAAATGATGTGTCCACTGACTGACGCGTCTCCTTTTTTTTTCTTTCTCCATTGTTACAGTAATCCAAAGAATTTATCCTATGTCTCAGAGATAAATCAGTGTTACTAGTCTAGATTGGCTTTTATTGTTTCTTCCTCTGCAGGATTCGTCATCCTGTTTCCCTGGCAACAGCAACTGGAAAACCCTTTGGAAACGCAATTCCAAGTTCTGCAACAGAACTCCTGACATGAAACCTCCCTGCGCGTCGTGGGTTTCAATTCTGGGGCGCGCATCTCGCAGCAGCTTCCCTCTGCACTGGGACCCAGCAGGCCATGCAGCCTGGACAGTGATCCCAGAGGCGCCTGAGCCTCCGCTGTACGGCAGGGTCCATGCCAAGATGGCCGCGCCCACAAGCCATCTCCGCAAGGCGCCGCCATCGAAGCGGCAGGACCCTCTGAAGCGGCGCTCGGGGAGGCCGCCACGTCCGCCTCTGACTCCAACCAGGTCCTGACAAAGCCTGGGGCGGTGGGCTGGAGGAGCGCGGCGGCAGCCGTCAAGGCCGGGCCTCTGAGGGAGATGGCTGCACCTGAGCCCGCGGACAGCGATGCGGTGAGGGCCTCAGGATTTGGGGGCGGTTTGGAGGCCAGTAATTGGAGGGTGACTGGAGTCTGAAGACAAGATTTGAGATTTGTGACGTCGATATTGGATAATCTTTTGGAATGCCGGTGTTCTGAGAGATCTACGTATTAGGGTATTATGGGCATGTGGAATATTAGGTATACCGATATAATACCCGTGGTTTTAGAGACATTAGTCGAGGATTGCTGTAATTGTAAGGAATCACTGTTCTGACGGATCTGCCTAGATAGTGAGGCTTGGGGGCAGGGAAACGTCTGTAACTGTCACTAACAGCGATTGAGTCTGGGTCTAGAAAGCTGGCAAGATCAGAAATGAGGGCTTTGTTATGTACCTAAGATGCGGAAGCCCTATAAGGATTAGAATTTAGACTGACTAGGAACAGTCATGATAAGCAGCTGCGTATTACAGGCTGTGGACTATCAGAGATCTGGAGAGTTGGGTTTTTCGGAATATGTGGAGACCAGAGGATGGGGCCTTGAGGTCAGGGGTGGTGGTATTTCTAGGAGTCCGATCAGCAGTCAGTGTCTTTTCAAGTTGGTGTTTCGTGTACTATGATGGGTAGCGGAATCCTGGAAGCTAATGGGGTGAGAGTTGGTGGAATAGGAGGAGTTTTATATTGAATTGCCTATGGGGATGGTTATCTGGGGAGAAAAGATTCCAATAATCCTGTCTCCTTAGTGACGGGGTTCTTGGTAGGAATTATTAATAATTATTAAAAGTCCTTTATGATTTTATGACTAGAATCCTGAGGTCAAGAGTCTGTGAGGTTGCTGGTCTTAATGACAAAGCTCTGTGAGGTCACTGACTGTGTTCAATGGAGGGTATCGATTGTTCTGTGAAGAATGGTGGTTGGGAACTTCTGTGGAGGGGATGTATATGAAGGTTAGTGACTGAGGAATCTTTGGGTGTCAATGATGGGAAAACTGTAGAACAGACTGTAAGATGTGCACCTATTTTGAGCCAGAGAATGTTTTAAGTAGCAACACACAGAGCCAGCCTGTCTTTTTATGTCTGAAATTCTAGAAACAGGAAAGAGATCACAAGATTGCAAATATGAATGTAAGATAGTTTCCAGGCAATAGTGCCTTTTATAGGTACTATATATAATAGTACCAGGCAACAGTGCCTTTGATGAAGAAAATAGGAAAGGACAATATGGTAGATCAGAAGTGTGATGTTTGCAAGTTAATCTTTTGAAGAAATAACAGTTGATTTGAATACAAATTATGACAGGCTGTGACTAATGCATGGATCCAAGGAATGTTCAAAAGAAAGAATGCCAATTGCTAAGGCCTCAAGATAGAAATTAGGTTCTTGTTATACTAAGAAGGAGGAAGAAGAAGAAAGATGAAGAAGAAGAAGGAGAAGGAGAAGAAGAAGAAAATAAGAAGTAGAAGTAGAAGAAGAAGAAGGAGATGGAGGAAAAGGAAAAGGAGAAGAAGAAAGATGATTAATGTGTTGGAACACACACGTGCATACACACATACACATACATGCAGAAAAAGTAGAAAAACATGAAATCAGTGTTAGAAGGTATTATTATCATGTAATATCATATTGGCTAGTGTTGGATTTAGATTTTATTCTAATTTCAATGAGAAATCACTGAATTTAAGTCAGAAAGTGATTTGGTCTAAACAATACATCAAAAAGATCATCATGGCTACTTTATGAAAGATAAACTACAAGGCTATAGTCAGAAGGTCCGAAGTTTATTGCACTAATCAAAGGCAAGAGGGTATGGTGACAATTTGGAATTACACTGGAAGAATTAATATTCAAAGTACATCTAGATGTGAGGTAATAGGATGTATTGGTGAATTAATATGGACAATGGAATTGAGATCTAGATTTTTGGCTCTAGGAACTAGTGTGTAGAATTTTGTATATGTCAGCAGATGGTCCCAATATAACCCAGTCCCTAGTAAAATCCTCAAGCACCGAGTGTCTTTGGGACTTTCTAACACATTTCATATGTGTTGCCAAAACTTGTTTCTGGAAATAAGTGTGTTCTATGTGACTCTACTTGGAAAAGACTCTTGGATTCTGTGTTTTTATCCTGAATTCATCCCTTAATGATTTGCTTTGTGTCCTTTAGCTATAATCAACCATGGCTGTGACTATAATTACATGATGAATCTTGTCACTCTTCCTATTGAATCACTTAGCCATACAAGACTAATGTATTAAAAGCTGGTGAGTCTGTAAACACTCGAGATAGTGAAACTGGTTAAGAAATTAAAGGTAGGCTCTGCTTGTTGTCACTGTAAGGATTCAGGATCCTTGGGAGATGGGTGAACAGTCAATGAGAGGTTAGAACTGGAGTTTGATGACAGAGATAAGGTTTCAGTGACGGCCACTGTAAAAGAGTTCTATTGGTGTCAGTGATGGGAGATTAATGAGATTAGAGATTTCAGGACTTCTTGGAGATTGAGATCAATGTATATTGTGGAACCCCCTGATAGAGGAACCCACTGGGCAAGAGCCTGGGAGGATCTGCTGATGTTTGGTAATAGAGTTGTTGGCATCAGTCATTTTAGAATTAATTAAGTGGTTAAGGAGGGTTGTACTGTGTTGGAGATTGTGAGGGCAGTGGCACTTAGTGTCGGGGGTTATTAAGAGTGCAGACAGGAAGCCTGTGAGGTAGAGATTAGTGACACATCAGTACTGCTAGTCTGTGAGGGTGAGGGGTTGTCTTTAAATGTTAAGCAAGGATGTGATCAATAGTGGATAGTTGAGGCAAAAACAAATTCTGTTTTTCAAATCACTCCTGAATGTGGAGAATTAAGGAATTATAGACTGAATAGGAGTATGATATAAATCAGTAACATTCAAAGATGTATTTATGGCTTTTACTCAGAAAGAATGGGAGCAGCTGGAACCTGCACAGAGGAACTTATCAATGGGTAAGGACAATTCCCCATCACTTGTAATGTGTTCTCTGCAATCCCTTCTGCCTCAAGTCTCAATGGGTAAGGACAATTCCCCATCACTTGGAATGTGTTCTTTGCAATCCCTTCTGCCTCAAGTCTCAATGGGTAAGGACAATTCCCCATCACTTGGAATGTGTTCTCTGCAATCCCTTCTGCCTCAAGTCTCAATGGGTTTTATTATTGTTGGTAGTGGTGGTAGTGGTAGTGGTTGTAGTCTGCCTACAACCACTCATTTGTTCCTAGCTTCCCAGACCCAAAATAGTCACAAAGAAACTATATTAATTAAAATACTGCTCAGCCTATTACTCAGGCTTCTTATTAACTAATTTTTACATCTTAAATTAACCCACTCCTATTATTTTGTATTTTAGCATGAGGCTCATGGTTTACCAGTAAGGTTCTGGGGCATCAGTCTCCTTCAGCAGCTACATGACATCTACTTGACTTTACCTACTTTCTCTCTCTACATCTCTGTTCAGATTTTCTACCTGGCTTCATTCTGTTAAGCCATTAGCCAAAAGCAGTTTCTTTATGGCAGTAAAACATATTCACAGCATACAGAGGGGAATCCCACATCACCTCCCCTTTTCTGTTTAATTGAAAAGGAAAGTTTTAACTTTAGTATAGCAAGATTACATACAACAAAACAGTTTTAGTCCATTTACATTTGGCAAATTAAGGAAAATGCTTTATCATCTATCCTATCTTTGTGAGTCTAAAGTTTCATTTCTAATCTATCTTTTATAATTATAACTATCTTTCTTCAACTCTATCAAAGACTCCAAAAGACTATACTATTACCTAAGTAAACAGGAGGTGCATTGTAAGCAACTTCTAAAACTCGAGAATTTATAGAGACATGTCACTGTCTGGACAGTCACCCAAAGTTCTTCTGTAATACTGGAGTATCTGTCTTCAGCCCACGGGCCCATAGTATCTGGCAAACTCTTTCATGAAGCAGGAAATTTTAAAGACAGTTCTGCCTATATTGGCATTTTATCTGTCACTTTCTTCTGTGTCCTGCAGAATGTCTGGCAGACTCTTCCATGAAGCAGGAACCCTGAAGGACTGTCTCACCTTCTTTAGACAATTTCAGCAGTCATTTTTAATGGATCCTGCATGTCCAGTTTATACAGCATACCATCAAACGGTCTAGGCAAGAGCAGTTTCTTGTCCAAATGGCTAGCCTTGTCACACTGAAGGCAAATTCCACAATGGTTTCTTCAAGGCCCACCAACCTCTCTGAAGTTCTCTGCCAGAAACAGACATGTCTCACTGTCAAGAAAAGTCTTAAGTTCTTAAAACATTTTAAATGCCATATTCTGTATGTCTTTGAAAGATTTGAAGGGTACTTATCCAGCTGAATTATATCTCTTTACATCTAGAAAACCTAACTGTCATGACTACAAGTTTGACTATTATAATGACTATCTATTAATCTGTATTTCTTAACTATACATTACATTTTTAAATGAAATGCACAAACACAATACCTTAAACAAGAACAAATAAATATAACAAAATTGACCTAAAATTTGTATCAATAGATCAAGACCAATGCAAAATATTCATCTCCATGTCATATTCCCCTTTAAATGAAAACAAACATTTATAAACAATATTTGGGAATTTGAGTGTAGTTCTCTCTAAACTGCTTCCTGCTTTTTGTTGGGCATAGTATTTTGGGGGGGTTCATGAAGACCCTTTGGGGGGATCTTGGCCCATCAAACCACATTAGTCTGGAAGGAATCCATAGGTTCTCATCTTCTGTGTAAATAAAAGCAGAACCTCTTTTCCAAAGTAACATATCCTTAGACTCAAATTTTGAAGTCAAGATACTTTTAAGATATATATGTTGGTTTGGCTTAGCAGCCCCCAGAATCAAATATCTCTCTGTAGAAAGAAAAATCAAAGAAAACATAATAATATGCATAATCTAGACTCTCCATGTATATTCCATCTTTACACGCCTTGTTTTCCTTTACTCTTTTAATCTATGACTATCTGTACTCTTTTATATTACTTTTACTGTCTCTTGAAAGACTTTGGTTTTTTTTAAAAGCTATTATTTCTTCTTATAACTGTCTGTACTCTTTTTCTTTTCTCTCCCAAGCCTATATACATATTTAAAACATACTGTGACCCATTCAGAGGTTTGTTTCTTTCTGAATCTGTCTTTATTGTGTAGCTGTAATCATTTTCTTACCAGGAGTGCTTTTAAAATGGTGAGCAACTTAGTTGCAGTGGCCCTGGATGCTGGCTTGCCTTTCTTAGCCTTTCAATATGGTGGAGGTACCTTTACTGCCAACTCTGGGACCACCAGGTGGGAGCCGTGACCACCACCTCAACTCTGGGAAGCTGTTGGCCCATGCTGCCACCAAGTAACTCGCAGCATGCTGCCCACAAACCCCAGTCAAGTTTCTTAGCCTCCTGAGAGAGTCAGAGTTGTTAGTGCAACTAACACAAACCAGAAAGCCTTCTTAAAGAGCCATGCAGGTTTTGTTGCTACTGTTGAGTCAGGAAGCCTTCTCTTAAAAGAATCATGCCTGTGCTTGCTTTTAGCAAAGAGAGCACACCTAAGAAAACGCTGCTACCAAAAAAGCTGTGCTTAACTCTGCTTTTTTTTTGTGTGTGTGTCTAGAATTTCTTCCCAAGACCTCTCAGGTTTTATGTGGATGTAGTCAGCCCCATATTGGGTACTATTTTGTAGGTGGAAACTGCTCATTCATTTCTAGCTGCCCAGACCTGAAATAACCACACAGAAATTATATTAATTAAAATACTGATTGGCCTATTAGCTCAGGGTTCTTATTAACTAATTCTGACATCTTAAATTAACCCACTCCTATTATTTTGTATTTTACCACGAGGCTTATGGTTTATTGGTAAGGTTCTGGGGTGTCTGTCTCCTTTGGTAGCTACATAGCGTCTCTTTAATTCTGCCTACTCACTCCCTCTCTCTCCTTCTCTCTCCTTCTCTCTCTCTCTCTCTCTCTCTCTCTCTCTCTCTCTCTCCATCTCTGTTCGAATTTTCCACCTGGCTTTACTCTGTTAAGCCTTTGGCCTTAAATAAAGCAGCTTCTTTATTAATCAATGGCAATAAAACATAGTCACAGCATATAGAGGGGAATCCCACATCAGATGGTAGTGGTGGTAGTGGTGGTGAGTCAAGGAGTTTCAATCCCTTTTTGGTACTAGGAAGGACATTTGGTGACATTGCCTTCAAAAGGCACACAGATATCCCTATTGTGAAACATTAGAAGTCGTATACGTTTATTAGCCTTGAAAGGTCCTGAAGTGAAAACTCTAGGGCTTGATTTCTGAGATGAGATGGTTGGTCTTACACTCAGTTTCTACCCTTTCTTATGAGTAGGAAATCAAGATCCCAAACAAGGCGTGATCTCTAAGTTGGAAAAAGAAGAGCCATCACTGGGAGAGGCGAAAACAACCAACCCACATAGTGTGAGCACGACCAAGAAATCAGGAGCCAATGAAAGTAAGTTTTTAGTTTCTTGGTGCTAAGTTTGGAATTCTTCAAAGAATAACTTGTAAATTTTTATTAGAACTGGGGTTACAGCTCAACATAGAGAGTGCTTCTTCACTTGTACAAGGACCTAGATTAAAACCCCAATTTGAAAAAAAAAATCTTTTTTCTTAAAAGTTCCAGATTTTCTTCTCTTAACCAGGAAATAGTAGAAAAATACCAGAATCTGTTAGGAGAAAAAGAATTCAAATTACAAATATTTTTTTACTTGGAGATTCTAATATCTCCTCTTTCTGTGAACTTGTCCACATGAGAGGCTCATGACAAGCTCTTGTTTTATGGAGAAGAAAAAAATGGGTGAGTAGAACCACTTAATTCCTAAAACCACTGCTTGGATGTGGTAGCTATCCATTTCAGTTAGAATGGTTAGAGCAAGCCACGTGGTTCAGTGGGGTAGGCATGCATAACCTCTCTACAGGATAGATGCTGCAATTCAAAAGGTCATGCCACTGGGAAGTCCCGGGGGCATGACCTTTCATCACTATTCTGACTGTGAGGAGGGGCTGAGCCTGCAGCTGATTTCCTTCACTTAGCTCCTAACCCTGTCCATGTGCCCAGTGCTTAGCGGTCCGAAGACTCCACCTCTGCTCTCAACCTCATTCCTGTTTACCATATTTAGAAAAGAGTCCTTTTCTGCCCTCTACCCACACACCAATTCCCTAATGTATGACATTTTCTCCCGATAAATTCTTAGATTCTTCTACATCTCTGGGAATGATGCCCCTGCTTCTAATGGTTTTGTTTCCTTCCTTTCACTACAGAACTCCCTCTTCCTGTGTTCCATAAGACATCATCACGTCCATTCGTCCCTAGTCCCTGTGATGACTTGAATGAGTTGTTCCCCATTGTCTTGGGCATTTGAATGCTTGGTTCCTAGTTGGTGGCACTGTTTGGGGAGGCTTAGGAGGTGTGAACTGTTTCCTGCTTGCAGTTCAAGATGTTAGCTCTCAGCTTCCTGCTCCATGCCTGTCCCTTGCTTCCATATCTCCCTGCCATGACAAACTCTTATCTTTCTGAAACAGACTTGTTGCCATGGTCATAGCAATAGGAAAGTAGCTAATACGATTAATATAGCCAACCTGCTTACCCTCTAATGTACATTTTAATGACTTTGATTAACCTTAAATTCTTGCCCTTTCTTTAATGAGCAAGTTTACTCACCAGCTTCCCTTTCTTTGCTGATGGTCCCTTAAGGTCCCAGCTTCCCTTTCTTTGCTGATGGTTCCTTCAGGTCCTGGCTTCCCTTTCTTTGCTGATGGTCCCTTAAGGTCCTGTCTCTTTATGTTCTGTTCCTCTATTGCACCACTTTCCAACAGGCACCGTTATGTAAGTACAAGCTCATTTCCTACGTTGGCATCTTCTAAGGCCTCTGTCATACCTTCTTATTGAAACTGCTTGTGCGGAAGTCTTTCCTTAGGAGTCAGATATGGAGTTTCATCTGCATCAGTTAGAGGCTCCTTTCACCTTCCCTGTTTTTGTCCTCTAATTTTAACCCTTTGTTCCATGATTCTCTTATCAGGTTCCATTTGTTTTTTCTTACTTGTCACCAGCATTACACAAACTAGGTTTATCTTATCCCTGAGTTCAGTTCTCAGGAGGATTTAATGAGTCTAACTTTTAAAATCATCTTATATGTTACTGATAAACATTACATATTTTCTGGTACTAGTGAGCTCCATGCTTAAGTTTCTGAAGTTACATTTGATTTCTCTTAAAATTAATGTTCTGTTTCTTTCTCAAATTAAGAAAATGATTTTCCCAGGTGGTAGTAGTACATGCCTTTAATTTCAGTACTTAGGAGGCAGAGGCAGACAGAACTATATGAGAATAAGGCCAGTCTATAAAGTGATGTCCAGGTCACTCAGGGCTACACAGAGAAACCTTGTCTTGAAAAACCAAAATAGAAAGAAAAGAGAAAAGAAAAGAAGGACGGAATAAGAAAGAAAGGAGGGAAGGAAGGGAAGGAGTAAGGAGAGAAAGAAAGAAAGGGAAGGAGGGAAGGAAGGAAGGAAGAAAAAGAAACTGATCTCAGCCTTAATGAATTATTCTATCATACTGAAATCTGTCCAAGTATGATCTTATTACATACCAGAACTCTAACTTGCATTTTCTTCATAGTGAATTTTACTTTTCATGCTTTCTTTCTTTTGGGGTAGTGGATATCAGTGTGGTATTCAATACACCACCATAAGAAGTGTGTTATGGGCCTAGAGAGATGGCTCAGTTTATAAAGTGCTAGCCACACAAGCAGAAATACTTGAGTTCAGATCCTCAACCCTCACGTAAAAAGTTGCACCTGGCAGTGCACGCCTGCAATCCTAGCACCAGGGAGGTGGAGACAGAAGCCTTGGGACTCGCTGGCCAACATGTCCAGCCAATGGTGAACTCTGAGTTCACATGCTGCAACTAAATAAATAAATAAAACGAAGAAAACAACCCAGGAATTGCATGATATCAAACTGGCTTCCACATGCATGGGCATACATATCTGTGTTCACATACACAAGTGAACATGTATACACACAGGCAGTTTGTTTTAATGTTACATGTCAAGTGGATGGGTGTAAGTCTTGATCACTTTCTTTCAAGAATGAAGTTTGCCCCTGTCTTCTCTATCATCACTGGGTATCAGAAGACTTGGCTTGGCATGGTACCTGGAAGATCCTGTTTATCTCCTTATCCCGGGGTGCTGAATCTCTTAAAAGTCCCTGGATGAAAAACAGCCATCAGTTCAACTTCTCTGGGCTCCCTACATCTAACTCCTACCAAACCTGCCTCTGCCTCTGTCTGTCTCTCTGTCTCTTCAGATGGGTCTCTATTATGTAGCCCTGGCTGGCCTGGAACTCACAGAGATCCACTTGCCTCTGTCTCTTGAGTGATGGGATTTAAGATGTGTGTCACACACCCCACCAGGAAGCAGATCTTTTAAATGCCCTCCATAAAAATGAGAATTTTAGCCCTTGGTCCATATACCCTATTTTCTCCATTTAAAATCCCTTTATATCACACATGTTTTTCTCTTTAAATGTTTAGAATTCTTATTTCTGATGATTTCCCTACTCCATTTCTATGTAGAGAATTAGTGTATGGGGAAGCCTTGTGCAGAAGGCAAGTTGTCTTAGGGAAGAGGAGCAATGTTTTAAGATTTCTTTAAATGTAATTGTGAAATATGCAGGAGAAAGATGTGAGCAAGTACTGAGACATATATATATATATATGTATGTATATACACACACATATATATGTATATATATACATATAAATATACTTAATATATCTTATGATTTGGCAGTTAGAATGATGACAGGAACCAGAGGTATGTGCTCGAAAGCAAACTTGAAAAACAGGTAGATGTGCACTGTGAACCCAAATGGCATAAAGTATTTCCCAAGCTAATTACTAGGAATCTCATAGCTTTGTAAAGGCATCAGGGAACTTAGAGGAACTATGAAGCTTTTGTTTACTAAGAGTGTCCTTGCTACATTGCTATGGATGGGGACAGCGGACAATCCTTTCCTGCTTGTTGTCTCAGTCATCTATTAGCTCCTTGGTTCTCCTTGGCAGACATAGTCTCTATTTTAGTTTATTTTAGCTAGCCTTAGTAAATAGAGGGATTTATTGAAGAGACTTGGGTTTATCTCTCATAACCTAAAGGCAGAGACTTTAGCCAGACTCCACCAGGAACAAGAATTGGCAACTTGGAGGTCACAGGAATTGAAATTACACACACTTTATTCTTGACAACAGATAGTCCTACATTTCTACTTCTTTCTGTGTGTGAATGCTTCATTCTTTGTGTTGAAAAGCTTTTTATTACATAGGGGAATTGTGCCTTTCAAGTACTTGGATTATGTCATCTTAATCACAAGGAAGACACTGGTGATGTCTTGCTATGTAGCCCAGGCAGATCCTAAACTTATGAAAACCCTCCTGTTTCAATCTCCCGAGTACTGGGATTAACACACATGTGCCACATTACCTGGCATAATCATGAAGTCTTTTAACTTAATCCATTCCTTGCTCAGATCTCCTTATGTCTATTTGCCTTCTATCCCAACCTTCAAGATTCTTTTTCTAAGTAGCCAAAGCTTTTCCTGATGACTACTCTTAGTTTTCTTCCCCTGACATTTCTGCAGCTCTCTCCCCTCAAGTGAGTAGAGACATTCATCCCTAAATGAATTATTTCACACTGGCGCATTAAGCTTGAGTAAGTATCCAACCCCAAACAGGGCATCTCTTTATGAAACTTACAAAGAACTTCAGTGGGAGTGCAAGAACTTATGAGAATGTCTTATTAAATTCTATTTTAGAAGTCCAACAAGATGATGATCACATAGAGGAAAAGCAGAAACCTCAAGGCAAACTCATTGAAGAAGCTACATTCAAGAAGAAAAATTCAACTAGTAAGAAAAGCAGCACATGTGCTTTGTTGGAGAAAAAAAAAGTCAGTACAAAACATGTTCCTTCAAAAAAAAGGCCTCCGAAATCTGATTCACATGGAAAGAGCTTAAAGCAGAATTTAGATTTACCTGATCAGATTAAAAACACTACAAAAAAGAAATCTGATACAGCTAAAGAACACACAAAATCATTCAGCCAAACCATATCTGATACAGCAAAAGATAAAATTCCAGCTAGAAAGAAATGTGAGAAAATATTCAACAATAAGTCACGTGGTAAAGGTGACAGAAGATGTGAGAAAGTGTGCCGCCATGGCTCGTCTCACACTAAAGAAGACAAGATCCAGACTGGAGAGAGACAGAAATCATCTAGCCATGGTTCATCTTCTAAGTCTGAGAAAGCTCCAGCTTCTGGGAAGCCTTATAAATGCAATCACTGTGGGAAGGTCCTCAGCCACAAACAAGGACTCATTGACCATCAAAGAACTCATACCGGGGAGAAACCATATGAATGTAATGAGTGTGGGATAGCTTTTAGCCAGAAGTCCCACCTGGTTGTACATCAGAGGACTCACACTGGAGAAAAACCATATGAATGTGTTCAGTGTGGCAAAGCTCATGGTCATAAACATGCCCTCACTGACCATCTAAGAGTTCACACTGGAGAGAAGCCCTACGAATGTAATGAATGCGGAAAAACCTTTAGACACAGCTCAAACCTTATGCAGCATGTAAGATCGCACACAGGTGAGAAGCCTTATGAGTGTAAGGAATGTGGCAAATCCTTTAGATATAATTCATCTCTTACTGAACATGTGAGAACACACACAGGTGAAATACCATATGAATGTAATGAATGTGGCAAAGCTTTTAAGTATAGTTCATCCCTGACTAAACACATGCGAATTCATACTGGTGAGAAACCATTTGAATGTAATGAATGTGGGAAAACTTTCAGCAAAAAGTCCCACCTGGTTATACATCAAAGAACTCATACAAAGGAGAAACCTTATAAATGTGATGAATGTGGGAAAGCCTTTGGACATAGCTCATCTCTTACTTACCATCTGCGAACTCATACAGGTGATTGCCCCTTTGAATGTAATCAATGTGGTAAAGCCTTTAAGCAAATTGAAGGCCTTACTCAACACCAGAGAGTTCATACTGGTGAGAAACCCTATGAATGTCCTGAGTGTGGGAAAGCCTTTAGTCAAAAGTCCCACCTCATCGTGCATCAGAGAACTCACACAGGGGAGAGGCCCTTTGAATGTTGTGAATGTGGGAAAGCATTCAGTGCAAAGTCACAGCTTGTTATACATGAGCGATCCCACACTGGAGAGAAACCCTATGAATGTAACGAATGTGGTAAAGCCTTTAAACAAAACGCTTCTCTTACCAAACATATGAAAATTCACTCAGAAGAGCAATCTCATGAGGAAAATTAATGTAGGAAATCTGACGACTGACTGGTTTGGTCTCATTGAATGTTAAAAGATGGTTTCAACTTGATGCAGGTTAGAAAATCTTTTTTAAGGAAATCATTCCTTGTTATACATGAGAGAATTCGAATATGGATCTTTACATAAGAGCAATGGATTAATAATAAAATTTAAACTTGATCCTAAACCTATACAGAAAATACTGTATTTTTACACTTGTTATAAATTATCACCATATTTAGAACAAAATATGAATCTTAAAAATGTGAATAAGGATTTGGGGAGATAATCAGTAAAATTATTCCTGAGCAAGTATGAGGACCTGAATTCCACTCTTAGGATGTAGGGGCATGTGCTTGCAATCTCAGAACTGGGACAGCTGAGACAGCAGAGTGCCTGAAGTCACCTGACCATCCAGACTAACCATGTGTCACAGGGAGGAAATCTGCTTTAAAACAAGATACAGTTATCCTGAGGAAAATATATTTGACATTTGGCCTGCACATATGCACTCACACATATGCACACACACACAATTGTGAAATATTATAGTAACAAATGAACAGTAAAATATGCCAAGAATTCACTAGGCTGTTGTGTACTTAAGCACCACAATTAGTATTTGTATTTATGCTTTTGCATACTTACTGCCTTGTGTAAAATAAAAGTGTGGTCATCCCCTCTGGGATGATCTAGCTTTCTTCGCTAATGTCTATGTTGGCTCTGAATCAGTAGAAAACTTACTAGTTTCTTTTTTTTTTTTTTTTTGGAAATAGCATCATCTAGTCCTAGCTAGCCTAGAACTTGCTATGTAGACCAAACTGGCTTCAAACTAACAGAGATGTGCTTGTCTCTGCCTCCCAAGTGCTGGGATTAAAGGCTTGAATAGGAAATTTAAGGGGTTTTGTCTAGATATTGTTAATGAGAGATTAAGGAAAAGTGGAAAAGCTTAAAAAATGTGCTGGTAGAGAATGATGCTCAAGTTATGTTGTTAAGCACCGAAAGTGGATTATTGAACAGTGCATATAGTATATTCTCAATTTGGACAAAGACGGTGTGTTTGCCTGTCTTTTTCTGCCTCTTTGCATACAAATGTATTTATACTCATATATTTGTATATGAACAGACTTGTTTTTTTCGATCTAGAAGAAACTTTAGTGGTTACCACTGAACACAGAAGTACAGGATTGAGGTCTGACATTTTTATCATGTACATGTGTTTATATTCAAATATATGTTAAAATACTTTCATATGCACAAATTAACACAGTTTAAAAAATACAGCTAAGTCAATTCCACAGTGTTGTTTGACAAAGTAATATAAGGTTTCTAAGCTCATTTATGAACAATGAATTTGTGGTATATGGCACTAAACCTTGATATTGAATTCACACAAAGATTTTCCTTTTGAACACAGGTTTTGTTAACATAATGATTCACAACTGTAACAGTATTTTATTTCCCTTGTTTGCTATTAAATTGAAGAAGAATTCTGGGTACAATTGAATGAAAGTGATATTTTGAACCATCATTCCATTTTATGTCATATTCAGAGTGCTCATTTACAAATGCCTTAGTCACGAATTTCAGCTGTATTGCAACAAATGTCTCCATACCTTGTTGCCCAGTGAGCAGATATTGTTGATGGATCACTCACTCTGCTTCTCTCAGAGTCTGTTTCAGAATATCAAGCATGCATTCCAGCAGAAGGTTCTGCCTGTCAGTTTAACTTTGTTCAAGAGACCTATCTGCCGTTGCCTGCTTTACTAGCTGGTGTCTAACTGCTGTGATCAAACACCACGACTAAAAGCAACTTGGGGAGGAAAGGGTTTATTTCATCTTACAGCTTATAGTCCATCTTCCATGGAAGCCAGGGCAGGAACTGAAGGCAGAGACCTTAGGTAATAAGTGAAGCAGAGGCCATGGAGGAGTACTGCTTACTAGCATGCTTCTCATAGCTTGCTCAGCACACTTTTGCACACAGGTGGACAGCCTAGGGATGCACCGTCAATCGAGGGAGTGCAGCGCAGCTTTTCTCATGGGCCATTCTAGTTGGGGCATTTTCTCAGCTGACGTTTCCTCACACAGTCATAGTCCTGGCACATAGGAAGCTGAATCAAGAAGATCATGACTTTGAAGCAAGCCCTACCTTACTCCTTCCTATCCAAAGAAAACATCTGGTTCTGTGTTACCTTTTATATTTTCACAGCATATTCACTAACTCCTATCTCAAAAGAGCCATGGCCCAATCACTAGAACTTTTCCAGTTTGATTCAGTTCTCAGTAGATATTTTATTTGCATAGTAGTCTAGAATAAGAGTGAGTCCCAAACAGATAGGGGAGCAAATGCTTTCTGCACATACTTCATTCTTGTTCTTGTCTTCCTAACTTCATCTCAGTGAACAATAAAGTATAAATACAGACAAAGCAAAGCGTGTGCACATGTACGTGTTTGTGCTGGAAGATCATCGTATGGTTATTGTGCTCCCATTTTCAAATAACCGATTTCCTCTTGGGTGAGGAAAGTGCAGTGTGAAATCTATTTGCACCAGTTAATTCCTCACCAGATGGAAGTCTGGCAGTATGCACAGAGCTAGAAACGCCTTCATCTCTTAGGACAAAACAGTTGTAGGTTATGGTTCTGTTTACTTTTCTTGCCTTTTGAAGAACCTGTAATAGTGCCATACTTAAGATAATCAGAAATTTAGGGATATCTGAACAGTTATGCCTGTTAAGTAGATGTTAGTACTTAAAATTATGTGTAGTAAAACTTATCATTGGTGAATGAAAAGAAAATGTCTAAAAGAACTAGATGTCAGGGCTGAGGGGTGTCTCAGGAGGCATTGGGATAAAATGAGGATCTGAGTCTCGATCCCCAGCAGCTACACAAAAGCCAAACAGGCTGGCACATGTCTATAAACATGTGTTGAGACTGTGGGTGAATCCAGGGGCATATTGTCCAGCTATCTCCATGTTCGATGAGAGACCCTGTCTCAAAAACATAAAGTTGAGAGCAAGACGAAGAAGACACTTGACGTCACCCTCTGGCTGCACTAACCTATGCATGGGCAAGTACATCTGCACACACACACACACACACACACACACACACACACACCACATACACACACACCACACACACACACCACACACACACACCACACACACACACACACATACCGCACACACCACATACCACATACACACACACACACCACACACACACACATACTCCACACACACACATACCACACACCACACACACACACACACACACACACACACACACACGAGAGAGAGAGAGAGAGAGAGAGAGAGAGAGAGAGAGGAGAGAGAGGATGATGATGATGATGTTGATGTGAGCAGTAAGAAAATAGAGCCTAAACCAAAAATATACAAACTTTAGTCATCGGAATTTCCTGAAGTAAGACACCGACTTTTTAAATACAAAATCTTGAATCCCACCACAGATTAATCTAAGTTCTAAAACTTATGTTTTCATTTTCCTCACATCCCAGAACAAGAGGGGCAGGCCAATTCCATCCTGTTCATGAGCCCAATGTGTCTGCATTACAGACTGGAGCCACTGCTCCTGCTCCCTTGACACTGCCATCCAGAAGCATCCCACACTGGAGGCCAAACTGCAGCTCCCATTCATTTTCAATTTGTATGTGCACCAAATTCAGCTCATAATCAGAGACTCCCAAATTCCTCTTCCCTAAAGCTGTCAGAATTCTTTGCCTAGCTGCAGACAGGAGCTGATGCATGTGACAAATATGTATTGTGTTACTTGTATCTTTGTTATGTAACAGTTTTCTTCATGGTCTAAAGGTTTCTTTATGGTCTAACATCTGACTCAGGGAGTCCTGAAGAAGAACTCTTTACAGCTTAGAACGCAGTATAGGAGGCTCAGTGCATAATGTCACTGGATTCTCTTCCACAGGACCTAGGTTTGATTCCAAGAACTCACAGGGCAATTTACAACTGCAAATCCTGTTCCAGAGGATTTCAATGGCTTCCTCTGGTCTCACCATGGTGCACAGACATATATACAGACAAAAGACCCACTGTTGGATCACACTGAGGAGCCCGAGTTAGCACCTTGGATCAGGAGGCTGAGTTAGCAACTAGTTGACAGAATCTATAGAGCATCTGAGGGCATCTGGAAGAGATAGAGAGATGCTCCAGAAGTAGTGGGGAGGGATTTTGAGAGGCCTGGCTTTTTGTTTTGGTGGAGCAGAAGGGTGTGATTTTTTGGGAGACACCAATGAGGAGAGAATGCTAATTAGTTGTTACTCAATCTCTCTGCACTATCAGGTTTTCACCCCAGCCTTTGAATCTCAAGTCTTATTTATAAATAAGACAATAGAAATTTAGCTAAAGCTACCTTTAGAAGCAGCAACAGAATTCCTGCCATGCTGTAGCCTGAGCAGTCAGGCCAGTGCCAGAGAAGCAGACCAGTAACTTTGGAGTCACAATTGCTGTCTGAAATAGCAGTAGATTAAGGCACAGTCTCTCTGCAGAAGATAAAACAATAACCCACACATATAAAAGTAGATTTAAAAAAAGATTCAGGGTATAACAACTCTCAAGTCTCAGGAAATCCCTGAAACCATATCTACAAGTTCCCACGAGGTTATGAAAGCAGTAATGACTGCTGAAGTGACCAAACTCTCTGACCTGTTGGTTCTTGCAAGTCAAGCTCCAGGGATCTGTGAGCCCATCCTGTGCTGGGCTTTCACTATGTCACTGCCTTCAAATCACCCAAGCTCTATAAGTTACCTCTTACCCATACACCTGTAAGAACCCCTAAGAAACCCATTGGCTTCTCAGCTGGACTCCAGTGAGAAGTGACCTTGATGTGTCATGGGTTATTTAAGAGCGTGAACAGATAGTGTTTCCTGCCTTTCCAGGAAAAGTGTCAACAACCACCTGTATTCATCCCTCAAAGGTCTGCATCTACACAAAATGACAGTTAAATTTCAGCATGGCTTTGGAGAGCACATTCAAATCACTGCACAAAGAATTTTTCACTGGCCTTGTTTCAGAATCCTAGGAGCCTATTTTGTATTTTTAATTTTATTTTAGCATGTGTGTCCCAGGAAATTGTTTGAGGCTAGCCTGTGCTACCTAATGAGGTCTTCTATCAAAATGATATGAAAAATAAAAAAAAATGACCAGCAGCAACAATAAACATGGATCATGGGAAAAAGTACCTTAAGAGGGTGAGGTAGACCACCAAGATTTGGGGGAGAAAAGTGAAGGAGGCCCAGGGAACCTTGGGCCTAGTTGGAGAGAACTGAGCCCTTTAAGAAGGGCTGCTCCTTACTCCCAGGAATTCCCCTCTTGGTGAGATTCCATCTCCCCCATTACCCACCCCCCTGGATTCCAGCACCCCCTGCTCATACCCAGGAAATTTCAACTGTTACTAACAGGTAAAAGAGCCTATCAGGAGAAGATAACCCTGGCAGGACTAATAAGGGAGGAGAGGAATCTTTCTCTGGAGTGTATGCTCTGCTAAAAAATTCTCATCAGCACCTCTTAAAAGAGTTGCAAGGTTTTGCAGCTAAAGCTGAGTCAGAAATTTTGTTGCATTGGGGGAAGAGATGTTATGCCTTTTTTCCACAGGAAGCAAAAAGCCTCAAAATTATTGAAAACATGCCTTCAAAATTAATAAAGATCAGATTTGATCAGGGAAGACCTTCTAAAAATCTTGGCTACCAACATAAAGAAACAAAGAACTTGGGTGCACGGAGGTGTGGGGGGGTGTAAGGGGAGATGGGTAGAGAGAAGGGAGAAGGGGAGTATTGGGGAGAGCTTGGGGGAATGGGATGGGTGGGATGGAGGAAGGGTGGATATGGGAGCAGGGAAGTAAATATCTTAATTAAGGGAGCCATTTTAGGGTTTGCAAGAGACTTGACTCTAGAGGGATTCCCAGGTCCAGGGAGAGGTCCCCAGATTGTTCCTTGGGCAGCAGAGGAGAGGGTGCCCGAATTGGCCTTGTCCCATAGCCACACTGTTGAATATCTTGCATATCACCATAGAACCTTCATCTGGCGATGGATGGAGATAGAGACAGAGACCCACACTGGAGCACTGGAATTAGCTCCCAAGGTCCAAATGAGGAGCAGAAGGAGGGAGAACATGAGCAAGGAAGTCAGGACCACGAGGGGTGCGTCCACCCACTGAGACGGTGGGACTGATCTAATGGGAGCTCACCAAGGCCAGCTGGACTGGGACTGATGGAGCATGTGATCAAACTGGACTCTCTGAATGTGGCTGGCAATGAAGGCTGACTGAGAAGCCAAGGACAATGGCACTGGGTTTTGATTCTACTGCATGGACTGACTTTGTGGGAGCCTGGTTTGTTTGGATGCTCACCTTTATAGACCTGGATGGGGGTGGGAGGACCTCGGACTTCCCATGGGGCAGGGAACCCTGACTGGTCTTAGGACTAGAAAGAGGGGGGGAGTTGAGGAGGGGGAGGGAAAAGAGAGGCGGGGAGAAGGTGGAAATTTTTAATAAATAAATAAAAATTCAAATAAAACAATAGTATATATAGAAAAAAAAAGAAACAAAGAAAACTCAGGAGAGGTGACGTGTGTGCTGGGCCTCTACTCTGGTAACAGCTCTAAGAAGAACACATCAAACATCACATTAGCAGAATGGAAAAGAAAGATTAGAGCAAAATAAAAGAGAACAGACAAAACATAAGTTGAAGAAATGAAAAGTTCACTTTTTGAGACATGAAACTTGTAAAGCAGTAAATAGGCTAAGAGATGAGAGTCGACCAAGTTGGAAAGGGTCTACCCTACAGTTAGTGCCACAGGAACAAGAGGCACAAAAGCAGGACTGTGAAAAACTGTCACCAAATTATACATGTAAGAAATACAGGGAATTCTAGAGACAGAAAACCCATCAGCGTTGAATTAAAAAGAAAGAAAATCTGAAACTGGTCAATGGCAAATAAGGAGACTAAATAGTCAAAACCTTGAACAAAGAACAAACTCAGGACCTAAGAGTTTCACTGGTGAATTGTAGCACACTACACCGGTTCTGCTGTGCTATGTTCTACGTGTACTAAGGTACCATGCCTGTAGCATACTGCCTATACTACAGGAATAAATGTTTCGTGAGCTGGGCAAGGGGCTGGAGATCA